TTTATAAATTTTAAAATTATTATATAAATTATATTTTTGTGGAAAGTTTTAAAAATATAAAATAATTTGATAATTTTTGGTTAATTTATAAAATTTATCATTTTTTAAATTATCAGTAAGGACGGAGTAAGACACCCAATAAGAGATTAACTTGAAAATAGTTTGTAAAGTAAATGATACTGGAAATGACCAGATTAGCAAAAAGTAAATACTGGAAATGACCAGATTAGCAGAAGATAAATACTGGAAATGACCAGTTTTGCATAAAATAAAAGCAAAAAGTAAATACTGGAGATGACCAGATTAGCAGAAGATAAATACTGGAGATGACCAGTTTTGCATAAAATAAATACTGGAGATGACCAGTTATGCAAGAAATAAATAAAAGTTGAAGATGATTTGAAAAAGATGAAGTAAAACTTGATAATTTGATAGACTTCTTACACAGGAATTCTTGAGAGAAGATGATGGGAGGAAGTTTTGCAAGAGAGCAATTCCCACTCAAAACAACTCTACTTACAACAAGTGAAGGGAGTCTCCTTTTATAGAGAAATGGAGTCCCCTTTTGGTAAATAAATTGAAAAACATAATGATGACAATGTGGACACTTCTATGATTATGTCACATGTCATAACAAAATTACATTTTTAATATAAAGAAAAATAGGTAATTTGTGGTCTTCTTTCCATAACCAAATTGAGTGGATTGGAAGTGGAGTCACTTCTTCTTTGTCTTTAGGGTAGTGGGTTGGAAGTGGAGTCACTTCTTCTTTGTCTTTGTGGTAGTGGAAGAAGCAATGGGGTCACTTCTTCTTTGTCTTCAACTTAGTGCTCTTTGTTGGCAAAGGACCAAGCACTTCTTCATCCGGGTCATGGTTTTGGAACGTGGAATCTGCGTCAGATGTTGAGCTAGACGCCACATCTTTGAGAATTTGGAAGTATTCTTCTTCAGTCTTGGCGCCAGCTAAGAGAGCGCTGATTGAGGATTTTGTTTGCAAAAATTGCGTTGAGGATTTTTCGATAACTTTGGACAATTCAGGATTGTTATTGAACCATTGGAGGACTTGAGGTTTGTAGGCTTGTTCTGGGCGAGGATTTGCAGCCCAATATTTGGTTTTAAAGCTGCGGCCTAACATGGGTACCATTGTGACAGCACATGTTTGGTAACTGAATTCCCAAGCAGTAATCCAAGGAACTTTTATGTAGTAACAAAATTTGAGGAGGGGGAATCCTGTACCAGAATATTTTTGACAGAAGGTTTGATATCCCTCTTGTATCTCAGTTGGATAGATATTTTCAGTTGGCCCAAAAAGATCCCACCAGTGCATAAACCAGTTGGGGAAAATAATGGGAGTTTTGTAATCCCAGAAAAAACTCCAGGAGTGTCGGTACATATGGTTTTGCTTGAAGAAGGCATTAATCCAAGCTTCATGGTAATCCCAGTAATTGAAGGATTGGCAGATTTGCGGGTGGTTAAGAGCAATAGTAGCAGGGAATTTTTGGTTGGTGTTTGGGCTAGTAGGCCATTGGCGAGGGTGGATAATTTGGTGGATTTTGCAGGTTGAGTGGGTATTGAGTGTTTTGTCTGAAGGATCAAATTTGTGGGAAAAGGTGACTGATCCAGTTTCTGTGAGGATAAGTTCATAATATTTGTGGGTTTTGTTGAGGGATCTTGGTTTGAAGAACCACTCATTGAGGAAATGTTTGGCAGTAACATTTGGATATTGATGGTAGAAACCATCTTCGACAACGAAAATGGGTTGAAAAGTGTTTTTCTTAAAATATGTTTGAAATCGATTTTGAGGGGCTTGGACAACCACCACCTCTTGGGTTTTGGGAAAAACGGTTTTGAGAGTGGCTATCGAAGATGCCACCTATGTTGCGGTAGGTGCGACATCAAGATGATGTTGCTGATAGATTTGTTTGGTTTCTTCGGAAGAGATGGGTGTGGGTAGGATGCTACTTGGCGTTTGAGTATTTGAAAGAATTAGTTTAGAAGGGGAAATTGTTGAGGAAGTTGAAGCTTCAGTGTGAAGCTTTTGTTTAGAACCAGAAATGGCAATAAACTTTTGAAGGTAATTTTGGGCTTCAAGAGGGAGCTTATCAATATTGATTAAAGCTTTGGATGAACTTGAGTGTGAACCAGAATCATCAGAACTTTCTTCATACTCACTTGAATGATCAGGGCTTCCTTGTTCATCATCAAATATCTCTCTCCATGTTTTGATTTTGATTTTCTCTTTATCTCACAATCTAGTGGTAGGGGGCATTATGACTGGAGATTGCAAGCCTGAGAATTTTCCGCACTTCGTCCTCCCTGCAAAAATTCCCGAGTAAGGAAGTCTGGAAGAGAGTTTGAAGAACCATTTATAAATTGTATGTCAAAATCAAAAATGCTAAGGATTGCTTGCCATCGTGCAAATATTTGTTTAGAAGCAAGGTTTTGAACATCTTTTTTCTAAAATGTATTTTGCTGATTGGCAATCAATGCGTAGTAAAAA